TTGCCCTTGTTTGACCTTGAAGATTGCCTAGTAGCCTACAACCCACTATCAATTTGGGCTATTTAGCTATTCTTCTAGCAAGCATCTCCTGTCCCGATCCACCCAATAATACTGTTATTGACGTATTCCTGGTTTTCATATCAACCCTCAATCTAACTGACCAGTGCAGGTAGTGTAAAATATATATGTATATATACACGTGTGTGTGTTGATTTGCAAAATGATAAAAGATCGAGCAGTTCCACAGCAGCAGTGGCACACAAACACAAACACAGCATGGTTACGCTCACTTTATTAGTACAAAAGCCTCATATTCTTACACACATAACACTGTAGCACATTGTAGCACTCTCCTCGGCTCCAGGCTGCTTCTGTTCACTTTAGGCCTCTTCAGTATGTCTTGGCTGTGGACAGTAGACAATAACAAAGCATTTGTCACTGTTATCTGGGGGTTATGTCGACTGATAAAAGTTTCATTTCATCAGTTTATATCAGCTTTATATAATTTTCAGTCACATTTGACCTGAACTGAACATAAACACAAGTTGAAACTTTGACCTTTAAAATATCTAAATTATTCATATGACCAGCAGATGTCACTATAACGCCATATAATATTTTAGTCCCTTACCTTGGATTTGCCACAGTTGGCGAGCTTGTTGCCTTTAAAGAAGAATGGAATGAGTGATTAGTTCTTCTCAAACAAAGCTACACTGATAACCACCCTGATGAAAACTGAGCTGTAGGGTGGGAGCAAGAGATATATATTTCATTTCATCCCCCGTTACCCCCATGTTTTGTCTTCTGTGTCTGTTTTCACCCCCTTTATCAGACCCAAATTCACACAGAAGAACACACACACACACACACACACACACACACACACACAGGATATAGCTGTTGACCTACCTGCCAACAGAATGATGGAAAGGAACACAATGACCCCGGCGAAGACCAGACCTCCAACACGTAGTGTATGGTAGTCTACAAATTCACACAGAACAACATCAACACACCATCCAGTTCCAATTTCCTTTTCATTTTACCCTGTCTTGGTCTTTTTCTTTCACACCTTTTTAACCTCTGTCTCTTGTTTTCTCTTTTTCCATTTTCCATTTTCTGCCCCACAATCCAGCTCCTAGTTTTTCCTCTATCTCTCACTTTATTTGCCCATCTAGGATTTACATTTGCTGCGACAAACTCCCTTTATCCTGTGCATGCTTTTTCCACGTTTCTCTTATACAGCACTGGCAGAAGTTAAATATTTAAACTATTTCATCCGAGCAGGTACACTTTAAAATACTTACCGTATACAAAGTCTGCATCATAGTCGATGTCAGTACCTGAGGATAGACAGAGAATGGGTAGAAACCCATCAGAATCATACAGTCATCCTACAGAAACATAGCTGCTGGAGTTTTTTTTACACATGATAAATCACATATCATTGATCCCATTCACTAGTAAAATTCAAGTACTGATTCAGACACAATACTGACTGAATGACTCACTGTCTAACTCTGTGAGAGTGAAGAAAATAGGTTATAATCAGCACTGGTTCATTCCCTGAAGGTGTGTCTCTCACAGCTATTTTGAGGTAGTTTGAGACAGGCTGGAAATCAGATTTAGAAATACAAATGTTCCCACAAATAATGACAAAGTTGTCTGTTATCAACACTGTAACTTGTTCTTCCTTTATTCATTTTCTTCCAAATTCTGGGTAGTATAAGTATTTAGCACCACTAACACTAGCAGTACACATTCTGTGAACATGATAAGCTGTGGCAGAATGCTGAAATTAGAAGGAGAGTCTGAACTGTGAGGCTGCAGGACTCTGCTTATTTTGGTCATGCTAACAGGGGATACTTTAAAGTGTTGTTCATCATTGGCCAGCATGTTTATGTTACTCTAAATAAGAAGTTAATAAGTCAGCCTTGTTTTACTGAGGTATATGATTTATGCATTGTTGCTGTTGGTAGGACTGCCCTACAAATGCTAACCACAGTAACTATGCCGACACTGAAACTGAGAAAAAATGGCTTTAAAAAAAAAGTGGTAATGCACTTAAGAAATAGGTATTGATAGAGTAATTTATATGCCAAAAAAACATGGTCAATGATTTGAGCCTATTTTAACTTCTTACTACATTCAATTTGTAGTTTTAAATGTCTGTTTTGACAACACATTCTCACTCCGACCTCGACACATATTGACGTTTGGTCATGGACTTTCCACGTCCACATACGACAGGCGTTGGATGTTGACGTTCTGGGACACCGTGTCAAGTTCTGTCTGTTACATGCATTGTCCTCTTTCAAAATACACTTCTGGTTTCACAGGAAATATGACTTTTACATACAGTCTCTTTCAAAATAAAAGCACCACGTTGGTACAACAGCAAAAATTGACGTTTGTTTTCCTTCAGCAACAAACACACATGGTTAGGTTTAGGAAAAAAGAACAGGGTTTGGCTTTAAAAATCTAACGATATGCGAACACCGCTCTCTTGGGTGATAGGCAGTGTTTGTTGGACCCATCCAATACCCCTCCCACCCACCCCACTCGGACTTTCACCGCCTTAACTTTCGTCTTCGTCCCGCTGCGTTTACCCCGACACTGCCACAAGCTGCCTTAAAGGACACCTTTGTCATTGATTTCTGATGCTGCAAGTCACTGCCCAAGCACCAGATTTCAACAACTTTGGAGCTTCATCACTGATCTTACTATGGACATTTTCACGTAATCAATTATTTTGTCACTGGCATTATCCTAATTTTCATGTTAAATGTTCACGGTAATACACTTACTGCAGTTTTCCTTGGCCAGATAGAATCCCAAATCTCCAAGAACCCAAAACAAAGTGCAGTTACTACATTTATTATGGCCTGCCTTGGATTTTGTTTGGATTTTGTTGTTTACACCCTATTTTGACCAAACTTGTAGTTACTGTGGTTAGTCTTTGCAGGACAGAGTGGTTCTGACTCAGAATCACAAAGCACAAATGGCTATGACCTTGCAAATATTATTATGGGGTCATGTGAAAGTGGCTCTCTCATACACTCCTGTTCCAGGATAATCAGCAGTTCAGGTGCTGTGTAACTTACCTTTAGATGACATGATGCCTCGTCTGTTTGTGTGTTCAGTCGACAAAACTGCAGGGACACAATGCAAACAGTTAACAAAAGGCTGGCCGTAACAGCAGCTGGCAGCTGATGATCCATCTGCATCTGCAGTTTGTAATAATTTAACAGGGAACATCTTGTTTATTTAAAAAAAAACAATAGAAGTATTCACCAACAAGGCTGGTATATGAAAACTGTTGTTTGCAGGGAGGGAGATTTATGTGGATTTAGTTTCAATGGTCTCTCCATTTTAATTAGATTAGAGACTTGTAGAGGCTCATTTAAATGGGCTTATTCACTTTAGATGAGAGGTAGTTGAAAGCCTGGAAATTCTATATGTCCTGAAAAATTGCCTCACTGCGTTCCCCCACTAAAGACTTAGGAGCAAAGTGATTGTCTTTATCTTTACTGAGAACTTTAAGAGGCTAATGGCCATATTGATCCTCTTTCCCCCACCCCTTTCTTTCACCACACATAAACACACACACATACACAAGCTTCTCATTTGATCTACATCTAGTGACCTATAATCATTAACTTACACAGATTAACAGACTAAAAATTTCCCTTCCTGTCTCCATTTTGTTGGAGCACGCCACTGTGAATTGTGGACTTCGGTGCTTTCATTTATTATGTGTCTGGGCCTTTTCACTGCACCACTGAGCATACCAGGACAGTTACTCATTAATATATTACAGCTCCGATATTCATTAACCTTGAACCTTGCACAGCTCGATAGAGGTTATAGATGGAGCAAGGAGCTGTGGCGACGCCTGCCTAATAACGTAGAATTGATACCCAGTGATTTGGGCAGATAACCACACCACCCCTAAAGTGCAGCAATGCATCACTGCTATTAGATTTCTTCAGCTGGGGGCAATTAACAAGGACACTGACAACACAGTACCGTCTGTCCTCTAAACCCACTTTTACAACACATATTAATTGGAACCTGCGTGCTTTTATGGTTTGCCTCATTGAATAATGGAGCAACTTGGTTAAGAAAAGTTTAACTTAAGTTCTATTTTGCACAGAAATACACATACCAGACATCAACTAACACCCTTTAAACATGGATTAATTCTGTACTCATGGTCGTACAGTAACAGTTTATACAAGTTTATAGACATCTGAAGTGCACACAACAGATTTATTTTTACGACCTGCTTATTTAATTTAAAATGTGTTAATAAAAGCAAGTTATTACTCACCTGAGCTGCTGAAGGCTCTGTAGTACCTCTCTCCAGGTGTCTGAGTGTGTGCGTGTGTGTGTGCCAGGGGTGGGTGCAGCAGACCAAACTCCCGCCTCAGAGATCCACCCCTCTAACACACACACACACACACACACACACACACACACACACACATCTCTTCACGTCCACAGCCATATTTCAGCGCAGTCTCATAAAGTTTGTACTCTGACGCCAATAAAGAGTATATCTGCCAACCTTTGGAATCATAGCAGAATCAGGAGCACAACACATTTTCTGATATAGTTTTTCAGCACCAAGTAGCACCTTATCACCCTAATTAATTTGAGACCTGTGGGGCCGCTAACATTCCTGTTTTTAAGAGGCTGTAGTGGGCTGAGTTTTAAAGCAAGAGTAATGATACTGGTATCATGAGAAACTAGAGGACCAATGACTTGGGCATTGGTATTAATTGTCAGGTACCCAGCTTTCAGATGTTGTGTACCACTTACAGCTGACTGCTATCTTCCTCCTCAAGATGCCCCCTCCCCCCAACTTTTAGACTGATGGACAGATTTTATCCTGTGTTCAATGTTTAAACAAGAAACTTAGAAAGGTATTCTGGAAAAAAAAAGCTACACTAAAATCTGGTTTTCATCTAAATGAGCACAAAACCCACATTATAACATGTGTTCAGACATACTTTTATTAATTTATGCCAAAAGCACAACAGGTGGCTACACAGCAGGGCCTCATGCTTAAAATGAACAGAGCATTTACTTGTACAGTGGCCGTCTTCAGAACACTCAGACACCTGACAGGAGATTCACAACAAAGACTGTTCATTTGTTCTCTCGCTATGATTTGGCTTACAGTAGGCTACTATTAATGTAGTCTTGCACATAAATAATGTCAATCTTAAATATCACTAATCTGAAAATCAGCACCCAAACTTGGTCTCTCTTTATTCAGGAATGTAATATATGACCAGTCAAAGCATCATGGCATTAGAGACTGAGCAAGCAGTTAAAGTACAAACAAGAAAGAGAAAAGAAAGAGACCCAGGCGTCGTAGATGTGCAGCACTAGTGTGTGTATGGGTAAACTAATCATAGTCTACTGGAGACAACCTAATCCTGGCGGAGCCAGTGACAGAGAAGTGGAAAGTATGCGTGGAGAAAAAGGCAGTGGGACAGCTGATACAGAAGCTCCCTCCACTATAGATGGTAAAAAGACTGCAGTGGCGGAGCTCGTGCAGATACCTGCAAACCATTGCTGTGCTCAATCAGAGAGCTGTGGCAGTTGAGATTGTCTTATATAAGGCTCATCACATTTACATGTAGAGATACACATGCACTTGTGATATATGCATCATGAATATACAGGATATGCACACAAACACACCCAACCATTCAAACGTAGATCTAAATGAAGGATATTTAACTGTATATCTCATCAGTAAACTATATCTGTATTTATATATGTACTTATGCATATATGCTATAATCCAAAAGTGACAAACGTTATTCAGGACATTTGACAAACTAAGCAACAAACTGACAAATCCTGAAACTTAAAGGCAATAGATAGAAGTACAAAACAAAGAACAGAGGACCACACAACAGCTTCAAAGACAATCTTGTGTCAGGGGGTTTTCTGGCTAAGACAAAGAACTGGAATGAGTCACAGAAAGGCACGGGAACAGACAAGAGCACTGAGGGACTGGCATGGTCACAAGTGGAGCACAACAGGCTAAAGGTTTGTCTTATGGGCACAAGATTTATGTACATATTACACCTCTACACATAGATCTCCCCTCTTACCCTGTCATATAATCAGTTATAATAATCACCTATTTCTTCAGTGTTATAGTGGTTTAATATCAAATAAAACTGATCATCATCTGAGAAGGCAGCTCGGTACAGTAGAGTTGCCTCAGTTCTCTGCTGGAGTCTCTTTGGCAGCCTTTGCAGCTGAAAGAAGTAAAGGACAAGGGATTTAGTTGAAGGACAAGTGCAAAACAATAAATTTACCAAGAGTCATTTGTTATTAAATATTTCAGTCCTTCTCTCTCTCCTTTACTCAGTTTACTTACATGGAATCACTGTATGGTGACAGTTCTGCACCTCACGAAGAGTTAGTGAGTACTTACCTTTTCCTAAAGGATGCTTTTAGCTTTGTTTCTTACCGTCTGACAGTAAATTCATTTACATAAATACAAGACTTCTACTTGTAGTGAAGTTTATTTTTTACTGTGCTATTACTACTTTTATGCAAGCCAATCTGAAAACTTTCTTTCTTCCACCTCTGAAATCTCAAACTTTAAAAATTGATTAAAGGTCCAGTGTGTGGGATTTAAGGGGCTATACTGACAGAAATGGAATATAATATAATAAGTATGTTTTCTGTATAATCGCCCGAAAATAATAATTATCATGTTCACTTTATGTTACTTGGACTGTTTATCTAAATAAGGAGCCGGTCCTCGTCCACCGAGCCATGTTGCACCACCATATTTCTACAATAAGCCAGAACAGACAAACCAAACACTGGCTCCAGATAAGAAAATTTAATTTGGATTTTCACATTTTTGCATTGGCCAGCGTAGTTAGCAGCCCCTCTGCGACAAGCTGAACAGCATAGAAAAAACTGCTTTATTTGTTTTGGAGAGGAAGAGACCTCTGCAGATAATTTGGCTCTTGGTGAAAACCTCCTGAACGTCTGGATCTTAAGTTATCAGAAAAAAATGGTGAGCATGCTGAGCTATGAGCCCATTTGCAATGTTCTGAACAGCATCAGAGAAACACTGATTTGTAATGTCAAACTGCTGTGTTCAGTGTTTTTACCAGTTTAAATTCATGGGTTTGTTTGATTTGGAGAGGAAAAGACCTCTGTGGATAATTCGGCTCTTGGGAAAAATCTCCCCAACGTCTAGATATTAAGTTATCAAAAAAAATTTGAGCATGCATTAATGCTAGGTGCTGGGCAATGTGCTGAACACCTTTGGAGAAATACTGATTTGTAAAGTGAAACTTCTTTAATCAATGTTTTTAGCAGTTTTAATCACCTAGTTCGTTTGTTTTGGAGAGAAAGAGACCTCTGGTGAGAATTTGGCCCCCAGTAAAAACCATCTGAACAAAGAGCACTGAAGGAATTCCAACTGGGAGATCACGCTTGGCACACGGGAGAGGTTTCAGCTGGGTGCAATCTGCAATCCCCATAGATAGACGCCACTAAATCCTACACAATGTTCCTTTAAATTATGCAAATTCTGATGACTTTGAGGCTTTAATCCCCTCACTCCATTCTACTCTGTTGTAACAGTTTGTTAAATGAGCTCTGTGCTTCACATAACACTTGACATACAGATAATAGCTGAGACATCAGAGAATGTGCAAAATGACTGAACTACATTTTTTAGTGACGACTGAACATGTTTGGTTGCTTTCCATTAAAAACTCAGGAATCAATAGCAGGGAAATGGATGCTGTGAAAATGATCATGTATTTGATTGTTTCTTTCATTATAAAGGATGGTCACTGTGAAATCTCAGTTATTAGAGCATCCTGAAATGTAACCACATGGAGGGATTTTAAAACAGCCCATGCATGAAACTACAGTAAATGTTATGGCAAAAACTGAAAGGTAACTAAATGTCCTCAACAAATTTTGCTCATTGATTTCTAAACTTAATTGAAGTGAATCAAAACCAGACACAGCTCGATATGTATGTAATCAAACTTTTGATAGACAAGAAAAAAGATTAGCAGTTTTTTAATATTCGTATTACTTGTATGTACTTGCTGTACACACATACAGTACAGTTCATCATGTGTAAGCACATGCACAGACAGCGAGTCGCCCCCCCTCTTCCCCTCTGCTATGGGCACTCCCAAAGGGAAACTCAATTATGGATTTGTGTCGTGGGTTGAGCCAGAGGTGAGAGGAGCTGACAGAGAGTTAAAATGTGCATCTTACCAATGGAGACAATCAGGTTCTCTTCTTGTGCCTCCTCGTCTCCGGGGGCCCTGAAGAGAGGATCCACAGGTTGTCATGGTAACCAAATCATGTAATATGACAATGAAAAGCACTTACAAAACCAAATCTTTGTAGTTTTTTTTCCATCAGAGAGGAACACTGACATACCTGGGCTTCTGGTTGATACTGCAGCGGCATCTTCGACCTAGAAAGATCATACATCTTTACCTACACATTGTGTGTCATCACTGTTTACAGTGGTTCATTGTTACTTGTTAATAAAGATATAATTAATAAAAATGACAAGATGGTGTAGTAACACAGTGTGGAAATGCAATAATAATTCATTCATTTACTGTTAATTATTCCTAAGTTGACTGTAACACTTGATAACACAGAGTGCATGTACACATAATAAAAGGGCACGCATGCACGCACGCGCACACACACACACACACACACACACAGATTGACTTACTAAGGATGAGAAGAATGCCCAGTGTGAACAGCACCACGGCAAATGCCAATCCTCCAATCCTCAGGCTCTCGTAGTCTACACAAGCAGATGATGCCAGAATGACAGACACAGGAGCGGAAGAAGGAAATGTAATCAGTGCACCATTCAGTGCATAAAGGTTTACACTGTCTCTGTTGCTTACAGAAAACTTTTCTAAGCTTACCATAAACAAATGGGTTCTCATCTGTCTCTTTGCCATCTGTAAAAATGTAATAGAAAACATTTAGAACCGAGGTGTTCAGATTTATCAATGTTGTTCAAACACATTTAAAGACAAATGGAAAATACATTTTACAAGTTCTACAAATTGTATCCTGTATCTCTGTCTTAAGTATTCTGTATTTCATTTTACATACAAAATGTTTGGCTCTTTGAGTGTTTTATAACAAAGTCCCTTGTTCCTCTTTCTGTAAAACATAAAATTATTTTTGATAACTCATCTTGAACTTGGAGGCAGTTACACAAATACACCCAATTAAATGTGATTTGGGGTGATTAGCTAACCCCATCCATTCAGCCCAGGGCACCAAGGCTTTGTCATGCCCATCGGTGGGTGATATAAAAACCAAAGGCACCCTTTAGCATCTTTATGAAATGCACTGGGTTTTCAGCTAACTTCAGTGTACAGCCATTCAGGGCAATACTTCAATGCTGAGAACAGCTGACATAGAGTGAGAAATTTTGCATAGGGTTGCAGGGAAGAGACCTGGATGGGTCAAACTAAACCAGACGTACACCCAAGAGATCAAAGTTCATGTCCAATGTGAAACCAAAAGTCAATGTTGTTTTAACATTATATTACAAAATTCACGTACAGTCATCGCACACTGACATCACTCACGTGATGCATTTATGTCACATTACGTTATGTTACAAAAGGTACTTATTTTAACCCAAAACACGTGATAAAGGTATGAATGGTCAAATATTCATATTGAACAGCCAAATCCAATCTGACTGACATAATTCTGTGTTGGGTACTGCGTCACATACCGCCCATTTGTCAGTGGCCTTTCACATGTACATATTACGCGCTAGGTGTCCTCCTGTGTCTGTTGTTGACATTCCGGGAAGCCACTACCTGCCACTGCCACTATCAATACCGGGATGTCAACAAAAGCACATGGTTAGATTTCAGCGACAAAAGCATATAGTTCGGTTAAGAAACAAACATCATCGTTTAGCTCAACATTCATAGGGGAAGCGAACAGCAGGCTCCTGGGTGAAAGTCCGGGGGTTTGTTGGACTGATCCACCACTCCTCCCACCCACCCTATAGGGACTTTCCAGCTCCTCCTCATTACTAGCAGCATATCATACCGCCATGACAGTTTCCATCTGGCTGCGTTATTATCTGACACCGCCCATCTGCATATCATATTTCAGCGACAAGTGCCATTCACCGGCCGGCAGCATATCATAACACTGCAAAAGGCTACGTCAGGCCAAGATACAAACTGACACTGCCCAGCTGCGTATTATACTGCCATGAAAGGTGGCTTTGGTGTCAGGTGTCTGATGCCAAATTCACTGACAAAGCGTCAATATTCAATGACTTCGAAATGAGAACGGGCTGAGAGTGCAGGACTTTGACACCAGAATCCCAAGTTCGTTTCCAGACTTCTGTCTGTGGTTAGGTTAAGGCAACAAAGGCTCTTTGGTTGAGGTTAGGGAAAGATCATGATTTAACTTAAACATTAATAAAACAGCTGATAATAATAATAACAATGATGAAAATGCTAAAGTAACAACAAGTGAATAATGTCATTTTGGTGAGAAACAAATGAAATACATTATCATTGAACATTTTGCTGATACGTTCAGTATGAACATTTTTGGGAGCTGCCAGGTACCTTAATTAACAACATTTTCCTTATTATGTTAATAGAAAACATAATTGCTTGGTATTGGGTTTGCCTCGAAAACATATTTGCTTGTTCAAATTAACCATATACAAATGTAATTTCTATGAGAAATGGCTGCAAATAACATTCTAGTCTGGATAGGGTTTGAAAAAGTAATGGTATTGTCAACACTTAATGCATTAGAATTTCATATGTGGTTATTCATAAATATTCATTATCACCACTTTCCTTTCAAAGAACCACTCTCATGGCTTCAGAATTGATTTCACTGTAAAGAGCTCTTTGTAATCAGCACACTGTTGAGTCTGGTCATTCTTGGGCTTAATCTATTCATCTGCCACTGTTTGCTGTGGGGGGGTAATCCATAAGGGTTTGATTCAATGCAGAAACCAATAGACCTTCCTCTGTGGCTGTTAGGACCGAAGATGACCCCATTAGAGATTGCATCAAGTTTACTCACCCTGTGCACTGGGGTCTGCCACAGCTGAGAGGCAGCAAAGAAGGGAAGTGGTTTGAGTCAGAGGGTGAAAGGAAAAAGAAGGACAGGAAATTAGATTTGAGACCATGAGTGAAAAATACTTCAACACTATCCATCTCTCTATCGACTAATCTCTCTATGTCTTTCTTAACACCAGCTCTAAGTGTCACAAAAAGCAGCACCACGTCATCTATTTATAGTGCGTGAACATGTGAGCATGTGTTTACGTGTCTTACATCTAATCACACACTATAAACAGACCTCACACACACAGTCAGTGACACAGCCCGTCTGTGAAACCCACAAACAAAGCCCTGAAGCAATAATTGATGTTTTGCTATGAGCCCACACCCAGCGAGTGCCTTTTCATGTGACATCACTCCCTGCCCTGACACTGCCTCCCTATGGACAATTAGTGTGTACACACGTATGCATGGATGTAAGTATAGGGGAGGAGCTTACCAGCCACACACACCAGAAGCGAAGAGAGGAAGAGCAAAATAGTTTCCATGGCAACTGTTGACATAGAGTAATAAAGAGGGAGGGTGAGAGAGAATGAAAGAAAGACAAAAAATACAGTGAGAGAGGTCTGTGTTACAACACAAGCAGACATGCAGCACCGTAAGGGGTGTGTAAAAGGGGAATCACATCACACAACGCTGGCTCCGTCCAAACCCCTGGAGTTTAACTGATTTAAAAGGCCTACGGATATAGTTTTTATCTTGCATAACGATCCATGTTCAGAGCCTGCATACATGTTCTCTTTTCCTGGCAGATTACTCCTTCCTCCCTGTGGACATCACACAACCTTGGCCCATTTTCATGCAGGCTATTCAATGCACACATGCCAATTGTGTCTCCTACAAAACATGTTCATGTTCAGCTAATTTATATTGCTAAACACATAGCACCTAGCTGCATGGCTCTGGGGGTATCTCAATGATTCCTGCACAGATTGTCATGAAACTTTGTTCAGACATTCGTGTTCCTCAGAGGATGAATCCTAAAGACTTTGGTGATTTGTGACATTTTTGGTTTTTGGTAACATGAATTGACAACTTTTGGATGGATTTCCACATAATTCTTTATATATCAATGACTCTTAAGGCTCATTTATACTCCCATACAAAATAGACATGTTCATTTCAAACATTGTGACCATCACTTCCATACTTTCTGTATGACAGAGTAGATATACCCACTAGATGGCAGTGGAGGGCAAAGTCAAAAGGCCAGGAAATACATGGAAGCATTTGGATGGAATATCATTTTCAACGTCATCGTTACCAATTCCTTAAATTCTGCCATTTTTAAAATGCCTTCATCATCTCCTATGGTCGCATCTTGTTTGTACAATACCACACTGACCCCACGTTTTTTAGTGGTACTGCTCCAATTTGTCTGTACCTGTAAGTTTTCAGAAAACATGCACAAATACAGACAAAATGACCACAGAGTATGGACAGAAGGGTCCATCTGTGTCTGTATACATTTTTAATGTTGAGCATAAGTGAGCCACTCGATTATGATGGGCATCGTCAGGTCAAAATTTTAATTCGTCCAATACTTTGGTTTAATGACTAAATATCTGCAAAACTAATGACATCACTCATCAGCCTCAGCTGTACTTTGTGTTTACTGTTAGTTGAGAATTGTTAACATGCTACCCACTAAACCAGGATGGTGAAGATGGTAAACATTACAACCACCAAACATCAGCCTGGTATCAATGTGAACATGTTTTAGTGTTTGGCTCAAAACACCACTGTACCGAATCACTCAATATGGTGATGAACCATTATCTAACCTATCTATGAAGTGTTCCCCTGCATTACCCTTTGAAATACCTGCTCTGGGAACTATGTGACTGCAGGGCTGATAATGGAAGTGGAAACAGGTGAGCATAAGAATGACGAAGTCCTGTGAAAAAGTCTGAGGGCATCTGGTGGACAGGTAGGGAACAACAACAAATAGTCTTTGAGGAAGAAGGGATGTGGATGAAGAGGAGGGACTAATAGCCTTTTTACATATACATGTGCTTAGTCTGGCTTGGCTCAGTGGGTCAGTCTAGCACTGCAGGGATTTGCATCTCCATACAATAAGGCTAAAGGTGCGTCTTTAACTGATGACTAGCTTGTGCTTGGGAACCAATTAAATATTTTTGTGTCTGCCCCACTGGTGTTGTGGAAAACAGCTTTCTTGTTGTCAAGAGTTTTTCAATTGTCTCTTGGCACTGCAAGAATGTACGCAGGATGCCCATTGCCACCAGTTTGCTCACAATGTCTTGGGAAGCATAGTCTGCCAGAGTGCAGTGTAATGACGCTACACTGCTTTTTATCTCCAAGTGAGGAAATAGAGTACTTCCAGTTTGCATTATCCGGTTAAAATGCACTTAAAGTTCCACTCATCACTAAAGCATATTTCATGCAGGAGAGGCAATAAAAACAAATGAAATTATTAAAGATGTCATAACATTTTGAGGAAAATGTCTGTATTTTAACCTGTGTTTTTGTGTCTAACTAATAGAGACAACAATTGTGTAAACTCGTCCCATACTGAGAAACACTGCTCCAGCCGCATCAGCGACACAGGCTGCAATGTAATCCCCATGGGCAATTGTGAACCGTTATACATCCAGTATGAGAGCTTGTTTTTGCAACTGACAGGCTCAGAGGTGTCTGACAACATTACAGAAAGAATGCTACAGAGAAGTGTTTTTCTTTTGCTGGTCTGTTTGTTATTGTTATCAAGTCTCACTCAAGGAGAACTCTTGTTCTGAAATCTCACGAGATGTGACTTGATGAAGGAAAAACAAAGGTGGTAACGTTAGTTAGAGTTGGAGAGAGAAGTCCTAGAAAATGAAAATGGAAATAGCAAATGTTATGTTGGAGTACAGAAAATGTAGCTTAGTGTTATCTAAAAAAAATGTAAATGTTGTGGCTGAATATTTTGCTGATTTTGATCATGTGGAAAAGTCCATAAGATTTTAGACTTCTCCTTGAGCGAGACTTGGTTACACACAGTAACAAACAGATCAACGAAAGGTAAAGAATAACATTTAGTTTCTCTGTATGGCCTTTTCCATAATGTTGTCAGACACTTCTAACAATAATCTGAGCCTGTCAGTGGCAAAAACAAGCGCTTTTTTTGGACGTTAATTGACATTGCACAATTGCCCATAGGGAGTATTGCATCTTGTTTCAAACTGTTGTCTCCATATAGTTACATGTTAAAACATGGTAAAATAGGACCCAGGTTCAAATATACAGACATTTCCCTTTGAGGTGTGTTGATTGATTTATGACGTCCACTCATGCATTGAATAACGTGAGAAAACATTCCAACTTAAAAAGTTGCAGATAGCTAGGTCTTTGTTTGGCACAGTCAATACAAGTATTTGCATGCATATAAAATGGGCCCATGCATTATTCTTCTGATGGTTTCTTTATTTGCATTATTAAAAATGCAACATATTCTCATCCCAAGTCGTCATATATCACCGCTTTGTCAATGGCTTTTTACGTCTACATATTACACGCTAGGTATCCTCTTGTGTCTACTATGGACGTTCAAGGACATGCTACCAATGCTTGGATGTCAACAAAAGCACATGGTTAGGTTAAGAAAAAAACAATCTTGGTTTGGCATTCGGGAAGCAAACACCAGGCTCCTGAGTGAAAGTCCGGGGTTTGCTGGACCCATCCACCACCCATCCCACCCTACAGGGACTTTCCTGCTCCTTATATTACGCTGTTACCAGCAGTGTTTCAACCTGACGCCATCCAGCAGCATATCATACTGCCATGAAAGGTGCTGTCCTGGCTTATCGGTGGAGTATCATTATGATGCAAAAAGTTGTGTTACACAGTGATGCCACCCGACCGCGTTTCATAACTTGTACTGGCAGTGAACTGTAACTCATAACTCAGCTCCAGGTGTCTGATGCTGAAATCATTGACAAAGTGGAGGTATGTGATGACTTCAGAATGAGAACGGGCTAAATAATGATGTTAAAAATGCCCACATGACATCGGAACAACCCGCTTGGGGTAGGTCTGGAGAGCCTTGACTCAACTCCGGAGATGTCCATCTCGGGGGAAGACTCGACTCAACCTGGTGCATTTTAAGTGGTAATGGAAATGCAAATCAATGCAGCATGATTTGACTCGGTGCCAGAAATGCCAAGGGAAAAGCCCTCAAAGGAACAAAGTGTAACAAATACAGATGAGTGGCAAGATTTGACAGCAATGCATTTGATGAGGAATATAAAAGTTCCACAGTAAAAAAAAGCAAGAGGCAAGTCTGCAGTGCAACAAGTGTTCCCTGTTCACAAGCTATAGAAGTATCTATTCAAGCCTTCAAGAGTCCAGAAGTTTTGTTCAACTAAGGCTTTACCATCCGTCTGTCTGTGTGCATGGCTTCATTTCCTTCCATCCATCTGACTGACTGTCTCTCTGACTGACTGTCCATTTATGTTCATCAACCCATCTGGCTGTTTGTCTCTACTCAGATGTATCAGTGGTGGAGCACATAGTGCACTTAAATGAGCAGAATCCATTATAGTCATTAGCAGAGCATTTCTGCCCAGTTTATTTGTTGGTGCTTCGTATAATTGATTTGTTAATCCTCGTACAGATCTGTGCAACACACGGTAACACAGACATTTATGAAATAATGTGACACAAGATGACAACAGAGTAACATGACATCCATTAGACTAATGGTACCTATCCTTAAAATGAAAATCAGCCCTATGTGACCCCAGATAAAATAGTTAACTGGAATTTTCTATTTTTGTTTTTATGTTTGTTTGGATGTTGTCATGCATACTTGAGTTTATTGACGCAGACTGAATTTTTATGACAAGCTCTCATGTTTCTTGCTTTACATTACCATTCTTTATGAGTGTACATACACGAAAAATAGTAAAGTTATTTAACATTACGAATGCTAGCGACAAAAAAAGAGAATTTCTTCTTCTAATGAGGATTTTCCATTTCACGTCTGACTGCACATTCAAATAAAAACCTTTGAAGTTTGTCTCAAGGTCTTTTTCGGCGTCACAGCGTACGCGTTGTGGAAAATATGATGCATTCAGAGTGGCACTTTACAGTCTAGTTAAAAACCAAACACAGATATGAATCATGAGATACGACAATATAGTCTTTGAAGGCATGTCTGTCACATCGGCACATCTTTCTTTCACATCAGAGGTGATGATTGATGGTTGGCCCCAAACTGTACATCACTTCAGGCACATTAATAAACACCAATCGAGCTCTAGTGCAGCAGGTGGGAAATTTATTTCTCACTAAGGCAGGTGTGTCCTCCATACGGCAGGGTATGCTGCCACCATTACAGAGATGTTGCTCTAGTTATGTCAACAAACTTTGTTGTTACAAGATCCTTTTACGTTATACGAAGTAATTTTCATGCTGTGATATTTCCTCGATATTACAACAGACGAACCTATCATTTTATTACGAGGAAAGTTTGTTTTAATGAGATATGCTGAT